TGGATTTAATTATTTTGATGATTAATTTTTAGATTGATTATTTGACTTTTTATAAGTCTCAAGATATTTTATTTTTGCAAAAATGATTTGTAAATTAAGAGATATTATTTTTTCAGTATTTAAATATTCAGAGAGAAATAAAATTTATTTCCCATATTTTAAAATTCAATTTTATATTTTCATAAATTATATATAATATGAGGGTCCATGTGCGCCCACCATAGGAATACATGAGATATGCGTGTGGGGGCCACTTGGGAGCCTCATGGATATCACGCCACCCTTAGTGGGTAGATCTTTTTCCTATTATCTATATCTTGTTAACCAAGGCAATTAACAAGATATTTATTATGGAAAATTTTGATGTATAAGAAGTTGGAATATTTAAAAATATGTATGAATTATATGAGAAGTAGGACATTATCTAATATTTTTCATTATAATGTTTAGGAAGCTGAATGATAAGGTTATAACATTTTTCTTTGAATCATGATGGTTGATCTAAGGAATAGATAGCTTAGATCTCTCACACCATAGGTTTCCTATAATCAATGATCTAGATTGAATCTCCATAAGGATGGTTATCCATAAAAAAACCCTAACTCCTGGAAACTCTAGAAATCGGGACTCTTCCAACTCTAAATCTCCACACCTCTCATCTCTATGTTCTCTCTTTCCTAGGGTGGCACACCACACCATAGGGTTCTTCTCTTCTCTCGCTCATCTCTTTCATCTCTCTTAGATTAGAAAAACTAGGCGGCACGTCCCAAGATAGACTCAACCCATACATAAGTTGCTTAAGGCAATGATGCATTGACTCGATCCTAGTTGTTCTATGCTCATCTCTCTTAGATTAGAAAAAATAGGTGGCACGCCCAAGATAAGCTCAAGAGGGAGGGGTGCCCCACCCATACATAAGTTGCTTAGGGCATCGAGGCCTTGACTCGACCCTAATTGTTCTATACTCTCATGTTGTGAAAGGGTTGTAGTCTTAGCTTTCCCATACTTGGTATATCTAAGATAGACCATTGATTCTGTGTACAAGAGACCCGGTATGGGGTGTATTGAGTCTACTTGAGGTAATCTTCCAATATCTTTATTTGGTGCTTTACAGTCTCTTTATTTCTTGTGTTTTCTTATTCCATAAGCATTATGTTGCTTTTATTTATTGAATAAAAGAAGATGTAATAAGTGGCAACAGGTAAAAAATATTTTTTGTTATTTAGTTATTTATTTCAAGTGAGTCTCAATTAGACCTTTGTAAGTGCTCTAATCGGTGAGAAAAATTAAAATTAAAAACTATAAACATTGTGTTGCATCACCTTATCCAACTTTCAAGATTTTGACCCAAGAAAAATGATTCTTGAATGATTTGTAGGGAGGGACTTTTGAATTTGCATAAACATAGAGGATAGGTGGTGGAAAATAGAGAGAGAACTGTTTATGTCGAAGAGAGGAGAGATGTTGTGGGCGTCTTAGGTGGGTTGATAGAAAGAGAGGTTCAATGGAGAACAGAGATGCTGTGGGGTTCTTTGGCGGGTAGAGAGAGATCAAGAATTGTCTCGGTAGAGAGAGTAAAATAAAGGTGAAAGGAATTATAAAAAAGTGAAAGGAGAAAAAATTTATATATCTTTCATTGATTGGATCATCCCGGTAGTATATGAACATTCTAAAACTATGGTATACACGTTCATTTATGGTATACACGTCTATTTTGAAATTGTGCAGTGTCATTTTGAATTCTCTATTGAAATCCAGAATGGGGTTGGGTCGGGGTAGTATTTTGAAATTGTGCAGTGTCATTTTGAATTCTCTATTGAAACCTAGAATGGGGTTGGGTTGGGGTAGTAGCATCATTTGTGCCTCAGCAAAAGTTTAAGCTTTTATTCTCATCAAATAAATTAAAAAACCATTAATAATTTCAAAAACCGGATAAAGCTCGTCATCCAACTAAATTACCCAAAATAAAATCCAACTAAATTATCCAAAATAAAAAATAAAAAAATAATAAAAAAAATTCTCTATTGGAACAGGGTGGTTACATTTAATGCCGTTTAATCCACCCAGCGACTTCTTCTCTTACCAATGGGCCTTGAGAGGGATAATATCGCCACGTTAACATCCAAACATATCTTATCCCAGGGGAATTCGCATTACCTGCAGAAACCTATTTAAGAAAGAAAGCATGCTTTTCGCTTTAATTTTTTATGAATTAGAACCAAACAGGGTGTCATATATTTCATGCTTCCGAGGGAGCATACCGTTCATTTACTCTATGATACATTCCAACCTAGGAGTATTTTTAGGATCTCAAATTGTAGGGGTAAAACCTTCTCAACACATGTGCCAATGTTAATAAAACAATTTTAAATCACATTCTTAATGGGCCTGAAAACATGATGTCACAAAATTAAATAGAAAACGTCCAATTTTTTAAGCATGATTTCTAAGTGTTAGAAAACCTAAAATTTATTTTTTTATTTTAATATAATCTTCTAGTGATTTTTGGATGTTTTTAAAATTTTAAAGAGTAATGATCTTATGAGACCCTCCAACACCTATGTGTGTAGGACTTTAAAAGATGATCATTAAATTTGGCATAAATCTCTAAAAAAGTTATCAAATGGATATGAGACTTGACTTTTTTAGAGATCTATGCCAAATTAATGGTGATCCTTTGGAGTCCTATACACATGAGTGTGGGAGGGTTTCATAGGATCATTATTCAATTTTAAATCAAAACAATCATCCTCAACAAGTCTTCTGTCCATAGATTAGTATAGTGTGATCATGCGGGATCATATGCCCTTAACAACGAGATATGAGGAGTCGCAAGTAGATGGAATTTCCCCATTTTCTCCACGGTCCTAATTCTTAAATGGCGCATATAGTGTGAGCCCACTGTGGACCTACTCCCTCATCAAAGCACTAGTTTAAAACTTGGAAAATCATATAAAAATTACTAGATGATTATTTTAAAAGAAATTTTTTGAATTTTGAGTCTTGTGAGGTCTATCCCTTGAAAATTAGATGGTCTTTATTCAATTTAAAGGCATTAATTTTTTCTAACTTATAGAGGGTTTATCTCTTAACTTTTTTTTTATGTTCTATGGGGTCGAAGAGATTACATCTCCAAAATTTTAAAATCTAAAAAGTGTCCCTAATCTTTTGACGCAAGCAACCGTGTTAGTGGGGGTGGGCTAGTTTGTTCTCGCATCTAAACTAAACGTGGCTTCTCTCTCCAGTGGAACCTTACAACAGTTACAAGTAATAATGAGTGACTTTCTCTCTCAGGAACATCTAATATGGTTTGATTATTACGAAGTAGTATTGTATTGTTGAGATGGTAAAAGGCTCGGGCAGTTAGGAAAAGAGCACGGGTTCGAATTCTGAGAGCAGTGATTTTATACTATATCAAAGGTTAGGATCGTTTTTAGCCCACCCATCTTGAAATCCTGCTTAGACAGGACCAGCATCGGGCCCTTTTAGTATTGTGCGGTTTTTCTCTCTCGGATGTACCTAAATAAGATTTCTAACCCGACATACATGAATCCGTTCTTTCTACTATATATCTTATTAACACACAAGTCACATAAAAACCCTCTCAAAAAAAAAAAGTCACATAAATAATTTATAACAATGATAAACTATCTCTCTCTCGTATCTTTTATTTATTTATTATCAATCTCATGGAAACAATCAGATGAAAGACTACGAAATAATAACATGAAATACTCTAATCATGGATCCATTATCTCGATCGTGCACAGCAATCCTGAGGGAGAGAATTATATATTTGCTTCCTCAAGCGAAAACTCCGATTTTCTTTACATAAAAATTTTGGTATCCACCTTAAAATCCTTAAAAAGGTGATTCCATAAAACATTGATTTTAGGTTTTTAAACACTTTAAAAGTCTATGTCCACTCCCTGTGCTTTATATAGTGCATGTGCAATTTCTCATAGACTTGTTGAGTTGAATAGGTCCTATCTAGATTTTCACCGACGGGAGCAAACATACACCATGTTCACCCAATAACTTAATTCAAATGGGAAAAATAAAAACGCCAAAGAAAATTTCTCCAACTGTGTCATATATAAGAGTGGGAATGGGTCGGGCCGGGCAAGGCTAAAATTAAGGGTCAGGCTAGCCCTAATCCTAGCCTAGCCCGGCCCTTGCCCTTACGGGGTGGCTTAGGCCTGGCTTAGGCCTTATTAAGGCCAGGCTGGGTCTTGCCGGGCTAAAAACAAATGAAAGAAAAAAACAAAAAGGCCAAACCAGACCAAATGGGATGGCACTGGCTCTGGCTCTAGCTAGGCCCTCCAGCTGCAGTTTGCGGCTCAAGCCTTAAAGCCTTACTTTTTTTTAGGGCTGGGCGAGGCCGCACATCCCATCGCCATCCCTAATCATATAATCACATATAATAACCTGGGGTCTCATGATTGATTCTGGCTTGCAAGTGAAGGCAGTGGAATAAATACGTTGGAATACGTACTTGAAAAAGTTCGTACGGAAGTCGAGGCTTTAAATAATCAAATTGGAGCTCACCTCAAAAATTTCATTACAAGGGGTTGTTTTGATGCCCAAATACTCTCAAATTGATCATTTCACGACATCAAGATGCATGGACATGAGAAAAAATAGATTTCAAGTTTTAAAAATAGTGTATCTTGTAATGTATTTTTTGACCATCAATTTTCAAGGTTTTCAAGTTTTTATATATCAACTAGATCTATAATATTTTTGAAGCTTTAAATATTATAATTGAAGATGAAAATATATTTTAAAGCTATCACAAAGATTTCTAATATGAAAACCACATTTCTCGACTTTATTTGAAAGTGCTCGGCTCTATACAAACCGACCCCATAGGTGCACCATATTTTTGGTAGAGTGCGCACAACTCAAGCCATTGCCATGGTCCCCACAATCTTCCCAATATATATAGAGGCCCAAACGCGCCCAATCAGTGTCATCGTCTTTGTGGGCCGACCGCCACCGTTGAGCCTGCGCGTGCGGCGTGCCATCCATAACAAATTCATGTCCGCTTCCTCTCTCTCTCTGTCTCTCTCTCCTCTGTCTTCCTCTCGACGCGTAGCCGCGCGCCTATCCGTCTCTTTCCGTCCCACTAAGGAGCACTGATTATTTTGGCCAACACAATAGCCAGCTAGCTCTCTCTCTCTCTCTCTCTCTCTCTCTAAATGGTAGTAGGTTTGACTCACCTGTATTCCACTGCCTGCTTTCTTTCACCTTCTATGCATTTTGACAACTTCTATCCACACACAAATTGCTTATAAAACCTCCCCATTTTCACACTCTTCACATTCGTAGTTTGTTGAACCTTCAAATCGAAGAAAGCATGGCATTCTTCATCTTTATTCTCCTTCTTTCGCTCTCTTCTGCGATGGCCTGTGATCGATGCGTCCATCGATCAAAGGTCGCCTACTATTCCTCCCCTTCTGCAATTCCAGGTACCATTTCACGATTCCATTGTCTTTCTTCCTTTAATCCGTATTTTGTGTGGATTTTTTTTATGGGTTTTGCGGTTGCCTTATGTTGTTGATCGGAGATTGTGATTTTCAGCTGGGGCGTGCGGTTATGGCTCCATGGCACTGGCTTTCAATGGTGGATACGTTGCTGCTACAAGCTCTGCTTTGTACCGAGAAGGAATTGGTTGTGGCGCCTGTTTTCAGGTGCTTGCTTTACTATTTTCTCTCTCTAAAACTTCTTTCTCTTCTCTCGTTTTTCTCTCTTGATTCTTGAATTGGGTTTGGGCTTGAGCAGATTAGGTGCACAGATTGGACTGTATGTAGCAAAGGGGGATCACAGATTATCGTCACTGACCTCAATTACGACAACCACACCGAATTTGTGCTGAGTGGTGCTGCCTTTTTCGGGATGGCTAGAAAGGGAATGAAACAACAACTAAAAAAAATTGGGGTTGCAGTTGTTGAATATAAAAGGTGAAAACCCAATTCTCTCTCTCTCTACTCTTCTTCTTTTTTCTTTTTTTTTTTAATTTATTTATTTATTTTTTTAACAGTTGGGTTCTTTGTTGTAATGTATTGTTGCGTTGCAGGGTACCATGTGACTATAAGAATAAGAACCTCTCTGTAATGGTGGAAGAGAGTAGCCAATATCCATACTATCTGGCCGTCAAATTCGTGTATCAAGGGGGCCAAACAGACATAGTTGCAGTCGATGTTGCTCAAGTAAGTTGAGAAAATCTTTTTAAAACAAAAAAAGAGTGATTTACATACAGAGCCTAAACTTTCTTCTAAAATACAAAATATTTCGTTTATACCAGAAATTACAAAAAAAGATCAGCCAAGCTGCCTTTTATTTTTATTTTTTCTAAAATTACCTTTTGGTCAGATGGAATCTTCGATCTGAATTTTAATTTTTTCTTTTTAGTTTTTTCGTTAGTAGGGCAGCCCTTAGGGTAGTACGGCAAAAAAAAAAAAAAAAAAAAAAAAAAAAAAAAAGAAAAAGGCACGAAGATTTACCGAGATGCAATTTTGAAAAAATATATAAAAAAAAAAGATTGACGGACCTTCGTTGTAATTCTCACCTATAAATGTATTTTTGTATCTTAAGAAAAAATTTAAAGTACATACGTAAATCACACAAAAAAATAAAATAAAATCCATGCATGAATTCCTAGCCTAAGGCTTCATAGGTCATAAGAAACTATACCCATTTTTTCCCCAAAACAAGTAAAAAAAAAATAGAGATCTTTAAGGTCTTTCATGAAAAATGTGGAATTTTTTTGCAGGTGGGTTCTTCGAATTGGCGTTATATGACGAGGAATCATGGAGCAATTTGGGATACAAACAGAGTACCGCAAGGGGCTTTGCAATTTAGGTTAGTTGTGACAGGGGGGTACGATGGTAAATGGATATGGGCACAAAGTGTTCTTCCCGCTGATTGGACAAAAGGGGCTGTATATGATTCAGGCGTTCAGATACACGACATTGCTCAAGAAGGTTGCTCGCCCTGTGATTCAGAAGACTGGCACTCATAGAAATCCCTCACCAGTCACTACTCACTAGTGAAATGACATCGTTTAAGTTAAACAAAAACACGTGTATGTAGTGACAAAAGAAAAAGGAGAAAATTGTAGTGCAATTTTGTAATAAACTAATTGTGTGAAATGTAATAAAAAAAACAAAGAAAAATCCTCCTTACCATCATCATTATCGTCGAAAGTTATATTTTACTATATCAAGAGTTATACCATAAATGAAGTCGGATATCTCATATCTATTCTTATCGAAAATAAGCTATAGTCCCTATAACTTGTATCACAAAAAATCTCTTTTACTGTAATTTATACAAATGGGAGGAATTTTTTAAGATTTGAAAGATGCTAGCTAGATATTTGAATTTTATAAATTCTACCGTTCATATTGGAGTGGTTTATATTGCGTACAAAAACTCTAAACCAACTGGTTGTTTTTTTGGCAAATAAAGTATTAGAAATCAACTCGTCACTATTCAGGAACCACCATTCTCATATGGTGATCCAAATTGAGCACACAAATTCTCTACACATTTCATCCCCCTATATATATATATATATATATATATATATATATATATAATAATAATAATAAATAAACTAACTAACAAACTAAAACTAAACGTACTATAGTATATACTACTATTACTTCTACTATATTATAGTATATATACTATATA